TTTAAAAAATAAAAAAATATTTTTATATATTTTTATATTAAAAAAATACTTTAAAAAGGAAGTTCCATAAAGTGATTTTAAATAATTAGAATCGTTCTCTAGCCAATCAACGGATAAAGCAAGCAAATACATGGAAACTTTATTTCCATAAAGTCAATTTATGTGGAAAAAAACAGGCGGAGACGAGGACCTAAAACTATTGAAAGTCAGTACACGGCATTTCTCAATTGTTGTTGTTCATACAAGCTCCATCGCCATTGCCTCGAGGGCTGCTATAATCTGGATTTTCCATGAGGGACATGCATTATTGTAACTAGATTGATGTATCTAGAGTCTGTAATGACATAAAACAAGACACATAAAAAATAAAATAAAATAAATTATAAAAAATATACTTATCATCTTCTTTTGTTAGATTATTGAAACAATTTTTTAATTGCTCAGAATTATTAAATTTCTTAATCTCTTTTTTTATTGTTTAGAAAATAATTAATAATATTTATATTGGTTATTTTCTTAATGGTGTAGAGCCTAGATATTGGCTGCAATAGTTTGAATTTTCCACGAGGGACATGGATTATTGTAAGACCAAATCTTTGTATCTTCAATTTATGGTGTAAGAAGAGATTTATAATAAAAAGATGATGTTTTCATTCAATAATGTGATACATGTGGTATGTTCAATTTATATAGAGTTTATAAAACCATGTAATAAGATACATAGAGAAATAAAATAAAATAAATTATAGAAAATATACTTGATTATCTTCTTTGATTAGAGTATTGAAATAATTTCTTAATTACTTAAAATTATTGAATTCTTTAATGTCCTATATCCAAACTTTATTTGCTTTTTAAAATTGATTTTTATTAATTTAATTTTTTAATATTTTTAAAATGATTTTAATTCACTTATATTAAAAAAACATTGTTTTAATTAAAAAGAATACTTTTACTTCCAAGTCTTCCACATTTACATGCAAGACCAAAAAAGAAGGCATGTATATGTCCTGTACAAAGTCAAGGATTACGCGTGTAAGAGGAGACAAGAGCGTTTACTTCCAAGTCTTCCACATTTCTTGATTGAAGTTAAGGATTACGCGTGTAAGAGGAGACAAGAACGCTTACTTCCAAGTCTTTGATTGAAGCTTTACCAATGAGTCCCTTTGTTTTTTTGACAAATAAATTAAAGGTGTTCCAATTAAGCAATCTAACGACGTCATGGTTGTTAATGGCAATGGAAGAAAGTCATCGTTAAAAAAGAGAATATTATGATCTTCGTTTGTGCCTGTTCGTGGCGGGAAACCATTCTTGGACAATCTGACCATTAAACAAAAAATATAAAATAGCTAAGCATTCTACTGTTTCAATTGCTGTAGCTCCGCAACCAATTTCACTGTAGTTATTATTCTATTTTTTAAAAAAATGAAAAATATCCAATCCACATAATCTTAAAATTTTCTCGACCCAAGATAGCAAGCCTCTTGACAAGCAACAATGTTATGTTTTATGCTATTATAGCTTAGAAATTGGCTTGACTAGCATAATGCTGATGCTCTTATGGCTAAGCTATGCAGTATTTGAGTTATTAGATCATCTGTTTTTTTTTAATATTTAAAAATAAATATTTTTATATTTAGATGAGATTTTAAATAGATTAAATTGAAGCACAAAATCTAACCGGACTTACACTTGAATTTGAAAACATTTTATTGCTATTGATTTGGAGCCAACTCCATTAAGATTCATGTTCATATCTTAGTTACAACCACCGAGAGAAAATCCAATCCTTTATTTTTTTTACGATTAATAAAGATTACAGTGCAAATCCATGGCTGAGCATCTCTAAAAAAACAAAACAAAAAAAAAAAAAAAAAGATTGCAAATGGATCATCCAATGCTACAAATGCAAGACAATCAACCTTGGAACTAGGTAAAGAAGAATATTTGAAAGAAATAAAACAAAACGATCTAGCTCTACGATGCTGGACTCTCCACGTGTAACAAGATTTTTTTTAATAAAATTTTCTTAAATTATCAAAAATAAAGAGACCTAAAAGTCCTATATTCACATGTAGCAAGATAAAAGGGAACTGTCTAGCCCTACGATTTTAGACTCTCCCCGTGCAGGGGCGGAGCCTTTTACAAGGCTAAGGAGGGTTGTAGCCCAGGTTAAATAAAAATTAATGATTTTTTTTTTAATTTTTATATAGCAAATCTTGTCTTTCTTTTCTTATTTGTTAAAGCAAATTTATATTATACTTTTGGTATCTTTTACAACAAACCTAAACCTAGTGTCTCACTTTTCCTTCCAATACAAAATAATTAATAGCCATCAGCCGTCACTTTATTTTAGCCACCCAATTTTTCTTCCAATACTAATTAATTAGTTATATTTTATAGTAAATCTATTTAAATATAAATAATTGATTGATTCACATATCTTCTAAATAACTTGAAATTTTAGCTATTTTTCTTCTCAACAATATACAATTTTAGCTTGGATTTTGAAGAAGAATCTATACA